GCCGGCAAAGTCCTAAAACCTCACACCTTGCTAAAAAGGGGTTGTTCCCTTTATCTTCCTTGTACTTCAGCAAGTATCTGGTGTCCTAAAAGCTATCTTAACAGTTGTCTGGCTTGTGTAAAGAAGCTGACGGATTTAAATATCACTAGGCCTCTCCTAAAGGAGATCTAATCTGTTCTGAGAAATCAAATTATTAAGATTACTTTCCTTGCTGTTGAAAAAGGTCCGGTCTTGCTCTCCAGCTGAGCCAGATGCTTTGACATCGCTTTCCGTAAAATGCGAATGCAGTTGCTGGCGTCAGATCTTGTGGCTGCCTGGCATGCTGTGAGTACGGCAAGATTGCAGCTGGGCTTTAGCGTACAAGTTGATGTTCATGAAATACAAGAATATTTTTCGTATTTTTTATCTATCTATCTATTTAGACAGAGTCTAGCCCCTGTCCTGTGTCTAGGAGTGACCTATGCTAGATGCCAAGGGAAGAGAACAGAAAAGCAGAGAAAATATTTCGTGACATTTTTTGTGGAATTCTGCTGGTAACCTTAAGGCGATGATGTATCCTCTTAGCATTTATTTCCTGTGTTCAGATGGGTTCTGTAGGTGAGGATCTTCTCTTTTATCCCGTGGTACCCTAGCATCTTTGGAAGTCTTTTGAGAGACACCTTGCAAAACCAGTTGTGGAACTCCAAGTGGACTCATCGCCTGGATTTTCTTGTCCACTTGCTTCAGAGAACTTTGAAGAACTCTACACAGTACAGAGAAATTTCTCACCATCTTAGATTCTTGTCCTTTTGTATTTCCTAGGTTTTTTTAAAGGAGATTGTCCTTTAAAATTTTTTCTTCTCCTCCTTATAAAATCTTACACTTGTGACATGTAACGTGTGCTTGCAGGAGGCAGCTGGAAACTCAAAGTGATCGGTATTAACTGATGCCCCAGGGAAGGTGAAGTATTGATACCAGTACCGTTTCTGTACTACTCTTTTTGTCTGCATTTTGTTGTCTTACAGGTACTCTTTCACTGTTTAACTGTTTCTTCCTTTATGTTTTTTTGTCCCTAAGCTATTTTTTAATTGAACTAGATATCGCATCTCCTTGCATCAAATAAAATAATTAACTTTCATTAGTCAGAGGTGATTTATCAGAATTGTTCAAAGAGGTTTTGTGGCACATGATAGATTTGTAGAATACTGAAAGGAAACTCCTGCAGGACAGCTATTGCTGCTGAGCCACGGCTTCCCACTCTGCCAGCTCCAGCCTGACTTTGATCTTCATATTCCAGGGGCATGTAGCTGGGTAGCTATAAAAAAACCCGCGTTTTATTCCTTACTCTTTAGATTCCCCTCAACCCATCCCCCAATTTTTTTCCAGCTATTTTTGTATTATTGTGTCCTTGCCTTCTTAGAGATATCTTGGGCAGAAATCGCTTCATTTCCTATGAAGTTTGCAGAGAAATACCGCAGGACAAGACCCAGGTGAGCACCTCCTGCAGAACTGTGTATGTATATGTGTGTATGTATACATAAAACATGAAATTGCCATTGTGCATTCTACTGGCCAGGGGCGGTAGCAGCTGTGGGCAGACCTGACTCTTCTAAAATCTCGTGCTGAGGCTGGAACTCGGTCTCAGTAAGTTTCTGAACCTCCCCATTCCTCAGGTTCTTTACCCAGGAATAAACAGTATTAACGTGTCTTTCTGAGGTGCTCTAGCACTTTGGATGGAAGGTTTTCTCAAAGCGCATCGTGTTTTTGCTTTGTATCATGATGCTGCTAGCTGGGCATCTCGCAGCCGTTCTGCCAAGGTAACAGAAACCAATGGTCACGTGTTTCTGTTCTTGGTTGCAGAGGTATTTTCTTCATCATTCTCCATTCTGGTTGCACATACCACGGCATAAGAGCTATGGTTCTTCCAGATGAAAAAATGAAGCCAAGCATAAAAGCATAAGGTATGCAAGGAGGTCAGAACTAAAGTAATGTAGATCTTAAAACTGCTGATGTCTCTAAACACTGTCTTGCAACAGTTTTTAATATGTGAAATGATGCGTGCTGAAGATCATGAATCGATCAAATTGTAGTGAAGAGCGCAAGACGACAGCAGAAACCAGAGCATGGCAGCAGTGCCCAGTTTGTACTACTTATCTCTGCTCTGACAGCATTTTCTATCATAAATCTGTTTGTTTTATAACTAGGCCATAAAATCTTACTTCAGGCTGAAATGTAGCAGGATATGCTGCAGTTCAAAAATTGTGCTTTTGTAGAAAAAGACATCAGTAATTTGTAAATTAAAATTGCAGCACTTAAAGATTATTTACATTTCTTTTGCACTCTGTAACTTGTGCTTTTTGGACTGGGTTTATATCCCATATAAATCTGTGTGATCAATCCTATTTAAAAGTTGCTGTCTTCTTGGCTTCATCAAATCCCTTTTGCAGTGAGTTTTATTTCTATGGGTGTGACTTCCTAGAAAATACTCCTTCACACTTTCTGTAATTGGATGGGGGAACTTGCTGAAGCTCCTCCAGAAGAAGGTGGTGAGACTAAAGTGAGTTTTGGGCTTGTTTTGTTTAAAAGACTGGATGGGTATAAGGGTAACAGGAACACGTAGTTGTCATTAACGGGAAGTGGAGAAGGAATATTTACAATCGTTAGCTTCATTCTGTTAGAAGTTGGGAGATCTCACGTCAGTTTATCCCATGTTTTGTCTTCACGTTCTTAACGCTTCATTTGATCTACTTGGCATTGACCAGTCCTGCAGACAGGAAACAAGCATGTGGAGCACAACAGAGTCTGGCAAGTCCCCATGTTTCTTCTGAACACTTAAGTAATTTATTTTAAAATTACCTGGTTTTAACGATAACTTAACATTTAGCATGCACATCCTGCAGCCCTCGATTAATGGAAAAACCAAGGACTCTATTTTAGAGTGACAAGATCTTTCTGTAATTATATCACTAATAAAATAACAAAAGGATGGTGGCATCAGAGGACCTACTGTGACCTGTACCATCTCTGGCAGTCACATTAGGAATGATCTGTGAATCAGTCTGACAGGAGTTCATCAATTTGAGCAATAGATGCTGGGTATGCACCCCAGTACACGTGTGGAAAGGGATGTTCAAATTACCATGAGTTCAAAATCCATTCTGGTTTTTGTAGAATGTTGTGAAACCAAGTGGAAGGAATAAAAGAGTGAAAGAGGGAGAGTTGAACACCAGCTGACAAGGGACAGGTCACAAGCAATTGGCCACAGCAGAGCTCTGCATTCAGTTTGTATGCCGAGGGGCCTGTACCAGAAAGAACACCAAAAGAAAACTTTTTAAGGCAAAATAGGTGATAGTGTCGTGCTCTTTGATAGTGAGGAGGGCTGCTGATGGGGTCCACGCAGTGTTACAGGGGTAACGCTGTTCTGGCCCTCACAGGGCAGTTCACTTTCTCCCCAGAGATTCGGGGTATCTGCAGGGCAGCTGCAGCTACTGCTGGCCAGTTTTGGAAAGAGGAAGACCAGGGGTTATGACTGGGTTTAAATGATGGTGAGTTTGGTCCCAGTTCTGTGTATTGCCTCTGAGGCTCAGCTTCTTGGATTTAGATGTTTTAAGGTAGTATCTTTATTTTAGCTTTAGTATTTGTCTAGCGAGAGACACCTTTCGTCACCCGAGGTGTAATGTTTCATGCAATAATTAACCCTACTGATTACTTTGAAGAAATTAGAAATTTAATATTTGTGAGGCAAAAGGAAAAATAATACTGTAACTGAAATCTTCTTTATTCACAAGCCAAACGTAACCCAGTAATTCACACTGTGAGGTTCCATATACAGCACCAGCACTGCCCGTCCCCCGGGTTTGCAGGGACTTGCCATGCACGTGTGCTTCACGAGAAAACGGCCGAGCGTAACTTTGCTTTTTTCAAGGGGACAATTTTGTACTCGTGGAACTCTCTTCACATCCCAACTTCAGTGCTATCCAGGATCTCAGGTCAGCGATGATCTTGGGACAGTGGAAGGCAGAGACTTTTGCAGGCGCAGTGGTGTACTCTTTCTGGCCAGTGTGGCTGGTGTTGTGGTACCTGGCAGTGTAACCTCTTGATTTCAGAAATTGGGTCATGTTGTTTCAAGCGGTCGTTGGCTGGTTTTGTAGTCTGTTGCCTCCGGAGCATTGCTCCTTCGGCCTCCTGCAGGACTACAAGCAGCAAAACAGAACGCAGCCCCTCCAGCCTGAGCTGGTCTCTTCTTCATTGAAAGCATGCTGCTATAGACAGTGATGTTTTTGGATAAACTTTGCCTTCCTTCCTCCCACCCCTAATTAATAAACAGCAGCTTGATAGCACAGCAGCAAATGCACATTAATATCAAACAGAATTTTCACTACTGTTTTCATATTAACATGAGATGTCAGAATGTAAAGTTAGCTAGATCTGCACATGGGACCATTCTTGCTGTTAAAGGCTTTAGGCTGGAACAGAGCCCAACATTTTTAAAAGAAATGCAACATTTGCAGATCAAATATTAATTACATGCTATATAGAATCATATTTTTCAAACAAATTTTATAAATAAAAAGCTAGGCCTTTCAAACCATCAGCAATATCAGTTTTGGATTTGAAAGATTATGAAAGATAAACAACCACATAACTGTGAATTAGAAAAATACTGGCCTAGGTTGCGTAAAAACCGCCATTAAATAAATACTGTAAGTTTTCACTATGAAAATTCAGTGGCATTGTACTTTAAAAAACCGTAATGAATTAACCATCCCATTAATGATGCTCGGGTTGTTTGTCACAAATCACATACACATACAGGAAGTCAGATGGCCAAAAAAGGCTATGTACTGGCTTAATACACAGTTTGACAGAAAGTACTCGGTATGCTCTGCTCCTTCCTCCTCACTTCCTGACTGCCGCTGCAGTTACCAGCTGCCAGTCCCGTTACCCTTCTCCCGGAGGGTCCGACACCCCGAAGGCTGACACAGTGGGTGGCTGCGGTTGTGGTCCTGTGCATCCATCTCTCAGGCCACCGGTTTAATCTCGGGGTGATTGACAGTGAGTGGTTCTGGTTTCCAGTCTGGTTGGAAAAAGTGAATATTGAATGTCCGTGCCCAGTTCTCAAACACTCGTTTCTCTGTGATGAAACGGTGATGACTGCCCTTTCGTCCCCGCTCGTGTGAAATGTACATTGTGCATTCATCAGGTCCCAAAGGTTCATAATAATGATAAGGTACTGAAAGATGATTAGGATCCCTGTGGAAGAAAGAAAATAGATGGAAGCCCGAGATGTTCTTTTTTACTGATTGAAAAGATGCTATCTTTAATAAGCTGATGGGCTCAAAGCCACTTTTTCCTCCCTGCTAAACCAAATTTCTAGGTAGCTGTATCTTTCTTGCATATTTAATACATTAGAATGGGGCAAAGGTGTTCTCTTTGCTCTTTCTATTCCTCGCCTCTAATCCCCTCCTCCGAGTTAAATAAAGGACAGCAGTAGCTCACAAACAAGGGTGAGTGCTGCAGGGCTGTGTTACTCTTCTGAAATTTGAAGCCAACTGCTTAAAAGAGATTTATATCTAGATTATCATTTGTAAAAAGCCTTGCAAGAGGTATTGACTGAACTGGGGGAAGAAAGGGAAGGGGAAGATTGAGGGGACAGGGAAGATAGCTGATGTCACCTACACAATTCTCTAATTTTTCTTATTTTACCGTTACCCATATTGTATATGCAGTGGTAATGTATGATATTGCTGCTGCTTTCCGTTTGTACCTTAGATGAACGTTTTAATTCAATCAATCTAGCTTCCTGGTAACACAACACGGTGATCAATCTTACACGACCAGAATAACAATAAAATTACATTTCTAGAATAAGATGGATTCTAAATTTACTGTATATATTCTCACCGGAATACATAAGAGAGTGAAAAGAAATACTTCAATACCTCACCTACTGCAAACATATTTGTAATGTAAAAAATACCCTTCATGTAGAAATTTATACTTCTTTTTTTTAGCTACAACTGTTAGATCTCAACCTTCAATTAATTTTTCACATATTTTTTGATACATTAGATCTCTTGTTATAATCTCTTAAACGAATCATTTGTATGGTTACTGTAAATCTAACGGGACACATTTTCATGTGATTTTTTTTTTTTTCTTAAGAACTACTGAACAAATAGGCCTCTGCCTCTCATTTAGAGTGCGCTTCCTTTCTGCACTGAAGCTGGATTTTACTCTTGTGTTCTCAAGGGTAAACCCTTATTGCTTGGTGGATGTTCACTGCTTTAAAGTTAGGATTAGTAAAGTTGAAATCGCATCTCCAGCAGACTTTGAACACCGTAAGTTAACTGCTGAGGGCCCAGCACTGCGAGGCGAGCCCGCAAGGCTGCCGGCCCCGGTACCCCCGGGTAGGTTTGGTCGGGATCCTCCCTCTGCTGCCCCTTTATGCAGGCCTGAGCTGGGTTTGCAGAACATGAACTTGGAAGGGCAAAAAGCAAGAAATGAATTGCTGTGTGTCTCATCCCTCTTCCTTTGCTGTACGCTGAAATTAGCAATGGATGATAGCGGTAACCGGAATCGAATTTCTCACAGAGGGTCTATAGGAACACTGGTAATTTTTTGTTTTGTTTTTCTTCACACAACCCCCAAAGTATACAGGTACAGGGGGTAGGTGGATCAGACAGAGAGAAAGGAGAAGGCTTGATAGCAGTCCTGTTTCTTCTCCCTCACTCCACTAACTTTGTATTTACCTAGGGTTTACACTCTGCTGTTACCTCTTTGAAGCGACATTTTGAAGCCTGTACCTCCCAGTAAGTGCTTTAGCTCTTACGTTATCAGTACTCTACCAGTGGATGCTTTAGCAAATGATTTCTCTTTTGAAGACAAGGACTCTACATTGCATCAAAGGCTCTGAAGCTAACCCCAGAGTACCCTGAGCAGATGCCCGTACCATCCGTAGCCCACACAGGGTCGCTGTATTTTGTGCAATGTCCCGTCAGAAATAGCCCAGCAGCACCTGGTGCACAGGGCCTGGCAGGCCAGGGAGGCAGAGGAGCGCAGTCCGGGCACCCTGTTGGGTTCCGGCATCAGCTGATGGGGCTGTCAGGGCTTGTATGCAGAACTGGAGGTGAATTCAATGCAAAAATGCAAATGCTGGTGACTTTAGATCCCTCCAAGACTACTTTGCAGCTGACTTGAGGCTTTGAGGCTAAATTCCAACTGTATTTTGGATTGGGAACTCTGAAAGCAGTTAGGTACCTGGGAGTTCTGGCTTCCCCTAGGTTTTGGATTGGGAACTCTGAAAGCAGTTAGGTACGAGTTCTGGCTTCCCCTAGACTGCATGCTAGTAACGTCTGGATTTGAACTCTGGCTTGAGTAACTACACCATAACCCAAATTAACTGTACAGTGTTATCTTCTAACTCTGCAATTAGCTTGTGTCACCAGTAAATGAAACGCATGAGTAATTTCTATACGGAAATTGCTTGCCACCTCATTTATTAACATTAAAACAGATGCTGTTTTATCACTGACTGATACTGGACATTAATCAGTATTTTGTCAGACTTTGCATGCATATTAATATCACAGCTGGGAGGAATCTAGGAAAGTTCCTCTGTAAAATATACTATACTTCCTGCCTCATAGCCTGCCAGCACAGCAACCGTCTAAGTGCTTGTACCCAATGTCAGTCATCTACCGTTTGCCACTTCAGTGCACATTTTCCCACAGATGGTATCCACCCACAGCGAAAGCTGAAAATACAGCTAACAGTGTTTGCCTCAAAAGAAACAAGGCAGAAAACCAAGGCCATCCCGTATCACATTCTGGTCAACCTCTTCCTTTACCAATGAAGAGCTGTTATAAATCAGCCCACTAAAACTATATGTACTCACACGCTTTGTAAAATAATGCCTGTTCTGAAGGGTGAATCAACGTGTCATCAACACGTTGAGTGATGGGCAAGGTGCTGTGCCAAGACTGTGAAGATTTCTGGATAGTTTTTTGCCTTCTATTCCCAGGATCCCATTTCCTTGACCTCTGTACTAGCCCTGTTGTCCAAACCATTTCTGCATTTTGTTATTAAGTGATTAAGGTAATGAGGTGAGATCCAGGTGCATGGACCAAAGGGCATGACTGTCTCCCGTGCAGTTTACAATCCTGTGAGCACCCCCTCTTCCATCAAGCCCCTCCTAAGTCCCAGGAAATGTAACTAGCAACAACTGCTTCTTTGCACTTGGTTTAAAGCAACTGAAAGTGGAGAGGGAGGTAAGAAAACACTAGATTTAAAAGCTGTACCCAAAGGAATAAATTAAAGGATTTCAAATGCCAATATTCAGGCAAATTATCACAGATGGGAAATGGCCTGGCAGTCAAATGAGGATTCTTTTAGGAAAATGATCTGGCTTCATAATTGGAGCAAAAATTATTCATATTAGTTAAAATAAGTCTCAGAATTAACCTTTAAGTTTCTGTGAGTTCCAGAAGGCCCATGAAGAGGAGGGGGGTTAAAGAGGGCTCTTCTCACTAACACCCCGAGTTTTCCTTGTGTGCATGAGTACCCAGAGAGATCTGCAAGGAACCAACCTCTCACTGCTGCCGATACGCCGATGGACAGGGACTGAAGTTACTACAAACCGCACTGAGGCTTGTCTGCGTCCTCCCCAGCGATGCTGCTGAGCAGCTGCAAAGAAAAGCAGCAGCATCGCAGTGCCTTCAGGAACTGAGGTGCTGTCTGTGCAGCGCAGCCTGGCTGCGGCTGTAGAGAGGCAAGAGGCAAATCCGTGACATCCCAGTTCAGGAGTGAGTCCTGCGCATACGGCAGGCTGCCAAAGGGAGCTCAGAGAGGGAAATGCCTGCCATCTGGGGTGCTAGTTTGCTCCAGCAAAGGCTAGGGTTGGATCCCTGGGCACTGGAAAAAATACAGCAGGATGGCTTGTCTGGCTTGTGACAGAAGAGTGAGGTGCACACTCTCTCCAAAATCTCTGCAATATGAGGGGAAGCACAAGCTTTGATCTTATTCTAGAATGTACAAGTCAGATGTATTTAACAGCATGAGAGCAATATCGAAGCCATTAACCCTTACTACAGCATAAATCTGTAGCAAAGTAAAGGGATTCGATATTACATACAGCTTTGCTGTAAAGTACTAGAAATTTATAATAATCAGGTCACCAATTCCAGTTCAGCTATAAAAATCAATATCCAGTGAAAGTAAATAGAAACGAATCTAAACCACGTTGCAATTAATAGTGACAAATCTTTTAGTCCGTACTCCAGGCTCCTTCACTAGACTATTTTTCCTGCATGGGTGGGAAGCAATTTGGTTAATGGTCTTAAGCTAATAATTTGTAGCAGAATCAACAGTGTGATATTCACGATACCTTTGAGATGTCCTTCACATTACAGATGTGATACTAATTTAGTTCCATGACAGTGATCACCAACACTCATTACTTACTCCACAAATTAATACTTAAAAAATAATGGGTATCTGCTGAAGTTGTAAATTTGGTGATATTAACTCTGAACAGAAATGTTGTGTTTTTTTTTTAATCTTAATGATTCCTCAGTTGCACAGCAACTGAAGTACCTATACCATCTCTCACATGCACACATGAGAGAGGTAGAGGGGGTTTTTTTGTTGTGTTTTTTTTTTGTTTTTTAAATGGTAGGTTTGTATTTTGTCTGACTGAATTTCTGTTGTCTGGAATATCTGATCTAGTTTGTTATTTTCCTTGGAGAATTCATGATGAAATCTGGCAGTACATCACAGCATTTATCATCAGTGTTTTGTTATAATTTGTAGAAATTCTTACAAAGTGGAATTTAGTGTTGACATTTTATATCGTAATTTCTTCAGGGATTTCTACTATGTGCCCAGGACAAATGCAGGTTCCCAAATGATCTTTTTCAGTGTTTAAAAGAAAGTCAGAGCAGTCCTGCTCTTTGATAGATGAGCTAACTGTCACTGCAGCCTTGCTCCCCTTGCCCCTGGAAGGCATCTTGAATTAGTCAAGGAAGCAGACTTCAGCGAGATCACTAAATTTGCAACAGAAAATTCAAGCAAGTGCTTCATGGTGAAAGGGATTTTGTGAGCAGGTGATGAAACGTTACACTGATGCCATCGTTCCAGACTGCCAATACCAGCTCTGTGCGTTGCTGCGTCACCTAACGGTGCAAACGGGATCGTGACGAGGTGTGGGCGCATAACCGCATTCTTCTGAAAGGCCAGAGTGCTAGGCCTAGTAATGGATGGAGAGGGGATACTGAAGTCAGCATAAAGATGGCTGATGTAAACCAAATCTCTATGAATTTATACTCAATCAGTGCTTTGCATCATGTGGCTAACGTGATTTTGGTCCAATACCAAAAGTCCTGACGACTGTTTCCCTCTATCACTGATCCATAGTAGGAAACCTTAACTTGCACCTCGGGCCTGAGTCCTGAATGGCTGGAGGCACAAGGCAGCCATAAAATGTACATGTGCTGTTACTGTATAGAACAGCATGAAGGGGTCACGTAGCTTCCACTTGTGGAATTTGTGTGCTCCTTCTACCACTTGTGGCCCACACCCTGCATGAGCAAAATGGGTGAGTAACGAACTGATCATCTATCATCTGCAGGTCCAAACCCTGGGTGGTTTTTTTTTTTTAAGGATTATTTGGGGGATTATTTAGGAAGGTAGTTTACTGGAACATTGGGATTCATGTGAGAGAGATACAGCAACCTTAATTTGAGTTGCACAGAAAGTTCAATTTAGAAAGCAGTCACTGTGAGAACTCCGTCCCTCTACGAACTGGGAGGAAACTTTAAAACCAAATTAAAAGTTTTCCAGTACTCCTTTCTTCAGATTAATTTCATGCCAATTATTGCATTACTTTTAGCTGATAAATATTCAGAGACTAAAAGAAACCAACAAGATGGATTAATTCTCCCACACTACAAACAAAATTTTAAAATATTTTTATATAACATAATTAAATGCTGTTTGTTGTTTTTCAGAATCAGATTTCGGGACACGTTAATTAATTGCTTTAAGAGGACTGAAGACATGTTGCAGAGAACAAAAATTAGAAGATTCAGGTATTTATCTATCTGTAACGTTCAACCTTGTTGGCTAATAATGGTTCCAAAATAAATCCTACCTGCAGAAATCCGGTGGCACCATGCCATAAACATTTATCCTGTCACAGAGCTCTAATGCGATAGTCATTGTGAACCAGCCCGTGCTAAGCCAAGTGTTGGATATCTTCCTGAAAGCAAAAACATAATTAAGTTTCTAGGCTGACAAATGATTCTTGAGATATCTGAAGCAATTTCTGGGTATTTTTTTCATTCTTGTGAAAGGTTATGAAAATTGGGCAACCAAGACTACTTTGCTCATTCATCTTTTAATGATTTTGCTAGTGTCTTCTGTCAGTGGACTAATCTATGCAGAAACTGGCCTTGCTGTAATTAATTTTGGGCACAGCAGTGTTAATATTTAGCTGACCTTTTGGTAAGTTTACCTTAAGTGACTGAAACTTCATGTCCTATATTTATATTCTTCTGCTAGTAATCTATACACATCCATAATCACCTAATGGAGCTTACACACTAAGCGCTCAGGAAGACACATCGTGGGGGCTGAAGAGGGCTGCTTAAAATGCTGCAGGAGCCTGTCTGCTGGAGCGAGGTCTGGCCTCGTGTGCTTGCTCTAACCATCTTTCCTCCCACCCTGTCCATGATTTGGTTTCTAGAAGCTCCAGGCCACCGACTGCTGGCAGGAAACTTTTCATTAGCTGCAGCTATGCCTGTCCCTTAGCCAGCCTGGGAAAACCTTCATTCCAGGTGCTACCCCCCTCCTCCCCAGTCCCGCTTGCCCTAAGTCCCACCGCTGCCTGGTGGCACCTTTGAACACGAATGAAGGTGCTGCAAAGGAACCCTCTAAGGCAGCTCCTTCTCTGGCTGCCTCTGCAGGCTGGGAAATCTCTTCAAAAGAAGCACAACTGGTCCCAGCATTACTTACGCAAAATAGGAGATATCTCTGTGTAACTGCTCACAGATGTAAGAGATTTACAAGCTGTGCTTCAATTTTGCTGTATCACAGGTTCTTATCTGCAAAATGGCAACAGTAGCCTCTTCCTAGCATTTGCTTGTCATTGCTGTTGAGAGCTGTGAGAGCTGGGTACGCTAACGGTTACCAGTTGCCTAGCACGTGCACCGAAAGTCCCAGGCCTGTGTTAAGTTCCTGCACCGTCCCTATGCCTGGGAGGGCCGGCAGTCCTGGAAATGCCAGTGAGAAGCATGGCTTAAAGGTGTCCTAAAGGCATATTTAGGGGCAGCCCTGCAGGACCGACTCAGGCACCTCTCTTAGAAACGGAGGCACATAGTTGGTGTTTGCTCAAAGGTCTCCTTTCAAATATTGTTAAAGGAGGAGGCAGCAGGTCTCCCTAATGGCTCCTCGCTCAGCTAGAAAGGTCCCACAG